TATGAGAATTATCTGAATGGGCTGCATACCAAAATCAATTTCTTCGATTTCGTCATTGTCATTTGGAACGGGTACATTGTGTTCGATACATAAATTATGCAGTGCAACACAGGCATTTATAATCTTTGATGCTACTTCAGGACTATAATGTAAAACTCGGTGTTTTAACAAGCACCTAAACCGCATCTTCAAAACCCCATTGCACCTTTCAATTAATGACCTCGTCCGTTTGTGTGTTTGATTATAGCGGTATTGTGGTGTGTTTGGCAGCGGTTCTTCTGCTAATGGTGTCATTAACCAAGACCGTAAAGGGTATCCCGAGTCGCCTGTATAATCAATAAAATACCAAACAGAGTATAGCACTTATACTTTCCCTCTTACCAAGTAAGAAATAATCTGTATGGCCTAAATCGTGTAAGGTTCGGAGAAAATGTTGCACATTAGAGTTACTCCAAATGAATGCATCATTACTGCTCCCAGGACATAAAGCATTGACTGATAAAATCTTCAAATTCGTATCACATATCTATATTAATTTTAAGTAATATATTAATCTAAAGTAATAAAAGCAAATTTCTTTACCAGTTGAGTATTTATGGAATGATATCCTTTTCTATTTACATAAATATGTTCCGGATATTCAGGATCATCACGCTTAGGGGGAAATATGGCTATATGAGTGCAGTCTATGCATCCAACCACTCCAGGAATGTTATGTTCCTGATAAAATCTACAACCAAAGATACGTAAGGTAAACAATTACCAAGTTATTTATACCTTAGTCGTAAAGAATCTAGATCTCTAACAGTATTGGGAAATTTCACCCATTGATTGAAAATTTCTGGCAAATTTATAATTGATACAACCTCGTTTATACATCTGCTTACGGTGGGTTGCGAAACAGCTAAATACGTAGAAGTTCCAATATCTAATTGGTAACTGCCGCTCCCAAAAAATCGTACAGCCACCAAAATCTTCACGAAAAGAGTAAATATGCGTAGATGAGGTGTGCACTTACCCTGTTCGCTATACTTAAATCAGTTGCACGACGTTGTGGCCTCATATGTGGTGTTAAGGAATCAATTAAATACAAACACAGTTGCTTCGTTAAACGAAACATTTTGATAAACTGTTCATCACTAAATTCATCAAAGGGATTTTTAGACACATTCTTAATACGACGGACATGTTCATCATTTTCTAAATTTTCTAGGAAATGCAGAAAAAATAAGTCATCCATTCTAATGTAATCAAGTTACGTCAAATGACACCTATCTTAAAACAATTTATAGAAATTCGAGTGGTTTATTCCGCTCGTTGTAAAAACGCATGATATTTACGAATTCGAAATACTCTCGAACGGTCAAGAATACCACTTGATCAAAGTTCATCGTTTTGGTTAAAAAAACGAATGACCTTCATAAATACGTAGGGCCAAGAATAGGGCCCCAGAGCAAAAAACCATAATGGTAGAGTTTATGGAGGACTATCCAGATTTTGCCAAAGGCAAACTTCTTGGGAATGAAGGGAAACAAAACAGAAAAGCCATGTGGGACATTTTGACAACCCAATTGAATAGTGTAATAGGACCTAAGAAAATAAGCCACAAATGGCAACGAGTAAATACTCATTGAGATCTTGTATTTCAGACTTTTAAATGGTCTGGTAAAAGGGAAGAGCGAGTACAACAATAATTTTTGTTTTTAGGTATGGCTTGACTTGAAAAATAAGGTTAAAAAAAGGCCAGTGCAATAAAAAAGAGTATGGGCCAAACAGGAGGAGGACCACACTTAAAAACAACATTAACCGATATCGAAATAAAGATAATTATTATTATCGGAGAGGCTGCAGTGTATGGCTTCGAAACCACTCAGGAAGCCTGGATAGTGAGGATGTAAATCAATTTGATCCTGAACAACCACGTACCAGCCATATGACACAGCATGAAATCACATTACAAGCTCGCACCCATGTGGCACAGCACAATGTATCACCTCCACCTAGCACTAGTCGTGTGGCTCAACCAGAATCACCAGAAGTGATACTGATGCTTGTGTGGACGATCATACCTACTCTTCTGTAAGTTTTGACAGTGATCTATTATTGCTTACATGTTTATTCTTAAGTTCCTTTTTTGATGGGAGAAAAAAAATTAAAAAACAGACAAATTTCCCAAAGACAGTCTTCCCCCACCAAGACTATTAAAACCTCCTCTTCTTGCAGCAGCTCTGCTCAGGCTACTCCTAGACGACGAAAAAGTTAGTTATTAAGTATATTTATTTTCTTGAGACAACCAACAATAGCAGCACAAGCAGCACGTCGATTCGCAGAAATAGGGGAAACTTTAAGATTCTCGAGCCCCAGTCGATTCGCAACTTCTCTTAAAGGGGTAGTATACCCAAAATCAAAAAAAGTGTAGAACAAAATCTAAGAACAAAATTTCAAACCGGAGTTTTCTACGATGAGTAGTTTTCAAATTATTAACGATGAAAATTTGAAAGACAGAACATGTGACGTCATTTCAACATCGTAGGTGCGGCGGCACGGATCCAAGCAGTCCGAACGCGTCGGTTCTTTCATATTCTATTTCGCTTTCCTTTGAAAATAAACAAGAAAACCTTACTGAACTATCATCCGAACATATATCCTCATATAAATTTGAATATTTGTAATAAATTTCTGTACCCAGCTCAGATTGGATACCTATGTTTTCAGTAAGCGGTATTGATATCATTTGATCCAGTTCTTCTGTTTGATTGTGGCATATGTTTGATGTTGAACTGGTTTCTCCACTACGAAATTGATCGTTTACGCACAATAAGCAATCTTACTTTCTTCGATAAGTTGACTGACGTTTTATAGCTTTATTGGGACCTTTGTTTCCTGTGAGATGTAAAGAAGGGATTGCAGTATTGTCAGCCTTCCCAAAACTTTATGCTGAGGCACAGGGTCCTTTCCCTTTTGTATCTTCCAAAAAAATTATCATCTTGAAAGTGGACACTGCAAACGACGTGACTATACTATATGTTTCAGCGGTTTTTCTGCTTTTTCAGACGTTATTCGACACGGCTCCTCCTCTTCTCGGGGAAAATTTGCAATGTAACATTGGCATTTTTCAAATTATTGTTGCAGCAGAAAACACAAAGTTAGGCATTTTTGAAAATAATGCAGATCACCGACTACCAGTCTCAAATTAACACGTCAAACGTCATCGAATCCATATATTGCTATAGCGCGCCACCGACCCCCATTTGTCGGGATGACGTCACAACGACCGTTTTTTACATTCGACACCTTGCCATTTAATAACGAAATGGCGTAGCGACTTGCGGTTTTCACCGTTACTCTTACATATTTTTAATCTATCTTTAGACGAAAACATGAAATTTGGGTATACTGTCCCTTTAAACGTAGTTATTTAATCTCCGCTCATTACACTCTCTCAAGCTTTTCTCTTCTCCCTCCCTCTTTCTCCTTAACACAGCCGCCTGTTTCCCAATCAACCTTCTCCCTCCAATTTTCCGCGCGCACGCCGATTTTGCACGTTACAATGATGACACGTAACCTCAAATAAAATCCTTTTCGTCAAGAAAGAACAGCTGGTAAAAAGTTTGAATAAAGTTGCCACCAGTATTAATTGTAGCGTTTCAGGACTTGTACAAAAGTGGTTTCTATTCTTTATTCATTGGGGAAGCCCATTTATTATTTCTAGGAGCCGTTGCCTCTGTTTCCTTCCTACTTTAACAAAAGGGGACAACGGCTTGTTTCTTTTGAAAGGTTGGACCACACTAGCCCTGACGTTGATAGTGTACCTATCAATCAGCTCTACGGTATACATGGTGTGACGTGTCCGTTGGGCCGTGGCGACGACGGGGTGAAGGTGGTGGGCTGTGTGGTGGCGGTGTGGATGGACTGGCATGTGGAGATGGTGGTGATCGTGCGGATGGAGCGGCAGGTGGTGGCCTAAAAGAAGGTGGCGGTGACGTAGCCGAAGGTAGACTGGATTGTTGACTCTCCGATATGATTTCATCAAAATCGGGCCTTACCACCACCCTCTGACCTCAACTTGAACTCCCATCAACACCGTGATGCGCAAGCACTTCTGTGACGGGCTGCGTGGGCGGCGCGTGTGGTGCTTCTTCAACCGTGCTAATGTTTATGTTCGGCATTGCCGCACGATCACCACCATCTCCACATGCCTCGACGACGACCACCTGTGTTGATGACTCCTGCGAGACCTGCTGCTGCAGCTTTGGCTTTCTCCCCCTTTTGCCTTTGACTTTCTTATTGTAAACTTTTGGCTTGATTTCGTACCAAAAATATTTGCAATTTTTCATGTTGTGTTTTCCCTAAAAATATTAAGCGTGAAATTGTCTCATGCACACGTATTTGTTCGACGTATGCATTTGCCTTTGACAATTCAACTCATGTATAAAAAATCGCATAAGCCGCAGTGAAATTGTCACTTTGACAGCGGCAAAAGTTACCTGCAACTTTTCCAGCGACAAATGCACTAGTGGTTTTTTCACTTATTCATTTTCGAACCAATTATCGCATTATCCTTTCCCATATGACTAGTTTGACGTCTGTCAGTAATTGATTAGTTATGTGAATTTCTTGTTCGTTAAATTGTCCTGCCGAATTACACTCGAGGTTTGTATTTAAACCGAGTAAATTTGTGTTGCTGCAATTCAAATCTGTTGCCTTTTAGCAATTGAACTCGAAAAACTGTCAACCTAAAAATGCTCCACCTGCGGTGTCGCATTTTTATTAGTTGACAGTTTTTCTCGTCTAATTACTAGGCAACAGATTTTTATTACCTAAACAACCCAAATTTACTCGGTAAAATACAAACCTCTTGTGCAATTATAAGTGAGAAAATTTTTTAAACTGCATACAATCCACGACAAATTTAAAAATTCCAGGAGCGCAAAAATTTTGAACTTATTTTTTGTTCAATGCAAACGACAATTATCTTACAACCTTTTATTTATTAACTATAGTATATTTTCTAGCACAAAAATGTACAAAACTTCAAAATATAACGCACGTCCCCTTCGATTTTGCATTCTTCCATCTGAGATTCCTCCACTTGCCGTTCCAACTGCGATGTTTCTTGCCTGCGTCTGTTTTAATTGGTCGGCATACCTCTCAAAAATTTTCTGCAGGAGTTGATGTGCCTAAGACGCAATCTCCCGCGCTGCAGCATTTGATACAGCCGAAGTGGGCGGCATCTCGGGTGTGTACCCATCCTCCAGCCTTTGAGTGTTTTGCAGCAAGGTTTCGAGATTTTTTCCGCCGCATTTACGCCTGTAACAATTGATGAAACAAATTTTTAGTTTATTCGATTTCATTTTTTTTTAACACCTTACCGTCTCTTCGCACACACCCTGGGATCGACCGGTTCGTCTTCGGACTTTCCGACCTGCCTAGAGGTGGAAGAGGAGCGCGAAATTCTGCTGGTGGAGTGGGAGACTTCTGCCGTTCGGATAGATGTGGCGTTGGGACAACTCTACAAAGAAATAGGTGTGATGTCTGTGAAGTTGGCCTGGATAAAATAGCCCGGCAGCATCGCACCATGCTAGATCGTTAGTGCTTATTAGTGCTTCATAATTCAACTTTAGGACTCAAACCGTTTTCTCAGAATACCTTATTTACTTGTTCGGGCTAACTTCACGTTTATCCGGACAATGACTCCAATTTGCATCAAATTTTGTAAATCGTTAGTGCTTGGTCAGTGCTTGTTGGTGCTTCATAATTTAACGTTAGAACCCCAACAGTTTTCTCAGAATAATTTTTTTATTGATTCGAGTCAACTTCACGTTTTCCCGGACAATGACTCCAATTTGCATCAAATTTTATAAATCGTTAGTGCTTTAGAATTCAACGTTAGAACCCAAACCGCTTTCTTAAAATACATTTTCCTGTTGGGGACAAAGTTCATTTTTGGCGTAGCTCTTTTCACATTGACATGCAGCGCGATTCATCTATACGTACCATCACCGTTCCGTTACCGCATCGTCAACGAAACGTAAAATATTCTCGTTTACAAATTTTGACGGTCCGGACGGTGACGTAATTGTGTAGTCTATAGCTACTATATATACCACAACTGACTCGTCCACCATTTTGGAGCCCACTGATAATTGACGCTTGCAAAACACGTGCTTCTCATGACAGTAAGTTACCTTGGCAACATACCACACCATAACGATCAAACAACACAGCGTTATATCTGACAGACTGTCAGTGGGCTCCAAAATGGCAGACGAGTCTGCTTTCTTAATCAAGTGCTGTAGTGTAGCCTGAATATGTCTATAGCCTTAGACTAGGAAAGAGAGAGGACAGGTAATACTTTCAATAAAACGGTGACGATTTGTCACCAAGGCTTACCTGCCAGTGTCGTAACATACTAACAGCATTGTTGGGTGATAAAATTTATTAAAACAGTAGTAGAATTAATTATTTTGCTAAATGTAATAGTTAAGAATTATATATCCAAAATAATTTAAAATGGGCCAATAGAAAGTCTTTAGAACGACACGGTACACTAAGTGCTCCGAGAAAGTTCTTATTCAAATGATGAAAACTATTAACAACATATTTTGCTACATATCATGTAAGGCAAGTACTGAATAAAAACGCAAAACGTAAAAATTATGAAAAAAACGGTTTGCTCTAAAATTTACCAAACAAATTTTTGCCTTTGAAACGAAATTCCGGCGCTATGGCATTGGATTGCAAGACAGTAGACCGCGAAGGGAATAGACCGCAGACATTAGAACGCAAGCATCATGTAGATCACCATACAAAGCAGAGATTAGGTCGCAGGTAGGACAATAAAAGGTATAACTAAAGTAAACCAATGTTATTCTACTTATTTCATCTGTGTATGCGCTACAACGTCTAGTCCTAGCCTAGGATCTGTGTCCTAATGTCCGCGCCCCATCAGTGTCTGCGTCGTAATGTCTGCGTCCTAATGTCCGCGTCCAGATGCCTGCGCCCTAATGTCCGTGTCCCATTCCAATCTCTGCGTCCCATTCCAATCTCTGCGTGCTAATGTCTGCGTCCTGCACTTTTGTGTACCTACATAGTAATAAGTTAGTTAGTATGCTCAAAAACAGTTATTCTTTTTTAAAAATTTTTCTCTAATTACTACATGTAACTTGTTAAAAAACCATCATTTGTTAAGAAGTTATACCTTATTAGAGAAAAGAAAGATTAAAGAAACACCGTCAAGTTATGAACAGTACATATCAATTTGTACCGCCAAGGATACCGCAGAACCTGAACAGTTAAATCCTCGGTTAAATCTGAAATGTCAATTTCAAAATAAATAAATATTTTTTATGTTCGGCAACGGAAGTTGGCACTGATCAGGCCACTTTGACTACTGCCACAACACTTTTCATTAATGGAGATGGACTCTTAGATTGTTTAAATTCTAATTATATTTGTATTTGCTTCTGTTGTTTAATATCGATATGTAATTAAGTAGGTACACATTATCTATTTATGTTAGGTAAACTTGTTTTGTGGAATTCTATATTTGGAGCATAAAATAGACTATAATTTCACTGAAATTGTTACATATATTTTGCTCTTCACATTAACTATTTTAGTTTTGCATCTTTATGTCTTTCTTGTATTTGGATACAAATGTCAATTTGTAATGTCTTAATTTATTTAATCGTACGATATATTACGTATAGGTACAATTTTATTTGTTGGAAAGGTACTGTTCGAGCAAAAGTGAAGTGGGTCCAAACAAAAAAAAATTAAAAAAACGGTTTGTCTCTTAACGTTGAATTATGAAGCACCAACAGGCACTGACCAAGCACTAACAATTTACAAAATTCGATGCAAATTGGAGTCATTGTCCGAGAAAGCGTGAAGTTAGCTCAAACAAATAAAAAAGTATTCTGAGAAAACGGTTTGAGTCCTAACGTTGAATTATGAAGCACTAATACGCATTAACAAAGCACTAACGATCTACAAAATTTGATGCACATTGGAGTCATTGTCCGGGTAAACGTGAAGTTGAGCAGAATAAAAAAAATTTTTTTTGAGAAAACGGTTTGAGCCCTTACGTTAACTTATGAGGCACTAATAAGCACTAACAAAGCACTAACGATCTATAAAATTTGATGCAAATTGGAGTCATTGTCCGGGCAAACGTGAAGTTGACCCGAACAAAAAAAAAATTATTTTGAGAAAACTGTTTGAGCCCTTATGTTAACTTATGAGCCACTAACGATCTAGCATGATGCGATGCTGCCGGGCTATTTTATCCAGGCCAACTTCACAGACATATAGGTGTGTTCTTGTACTTTCAAACATTATTATTATTATTATATCTCATGAAACATAAACTTTTATACTAACCGTTCGCTGGAGTATAAATGGTCCGCAGCGTCACCTCCGTCTAATTGCGCCATTACTAACTCCACATCAAAATTCTCCCACAGGTTGGCAGGAGTTCTATAACAAATTATCATTGCTACATAAATTCAAAGGCAAAAGTAATGATACTTACTTGACTGTTGAGTTATCCGAATGGATGGTAATGACACTACATTGGTCACCATCCATCAACGGCGCCTGGAGTGGTTTATTATTACCCGGTAACACTTTTTTCGGCGAGTGGGGGAACAGATTATTATCCGTTAAGTAGTACTGTTCCCCACTTTTTTTGATTTGCACGATAATTACTAACCTAAATGTAATGCTATTTGGTATGGTTGGAAAGCATTTTTTCAGAGCTTTCCAACGACGTATCACACATGGGGGGGTCGCTATTTAAGATTTAAAAGTTGGGGTGGCTGGAGCGCAGGGGGTTGGAGGGGTTGCGTCGCCAACTATGTCATTGTGATTCCCCCTCCAAATTACCGAAACGGATTTTGATTTTTTTAAATATCTCGTTTATTTACTAAGATATGGGGGGGTGGTAAGTTTTCAAATTGTCACCCTGTATATAATAAAGAGGATAAGCATACCCAAAAAGGGAATCGAAAGCAGTGAGGTGCTGGGGAAATTGCTGTTCGCCGGGAAAGGGGAGGACAGGTGGGGCGAGTTGTACGACTCCGTTGACGAGCTGGGGGTGGTCATGGAAAAAGAAGGGCGAAGTAAGGTACAACTGGTCCTGACAGACAGGAGGGACCTCGTCGCCGTGAGGAGGGCAGCGAGGTACTCCCTCCAGGGGAGGATGGAGGTAGTGATTACGACGCCGGTGGTGGGGGAGGAGACCTCGAGGGTGCCGAGGGCGGAGGCAGTACTGGTCAGGGTAGGCGAGGGCGCCAGTTATTCGGACTGCTTGCGCAGCGTCCGGAAGCTGGACGCCCCAAATGTGAGGCGGGTGAGGGCGACCAGAGGTGGGGACCTCCTCATCGAGATGGGGGTGGGGGCGGGGAAAGCGGGGCACGTCAAGGATATCATTGAAAAGGCCATTGAGGGAAAAGAGGTGAGGCTCCTTCAGGAAAGGATGCTGATAGACGTCGAGGGGTTCGACGAGGTGACCACCGAAGACGAGGTAACGGAGAAGATCGCGGCGGCCTGCCCGGAAGCGGCCCCGAGGGCGGTAAGAATATTTAAAACCGCGAGGGGGATGCGCATAGACCGTTGCGCCGGGGAAGGGAGGAGGGGGAAATAAAAATTGGGTGGAACGTTTGCAGGATAAGGGGGGTAGCGAGGAGAGAGGGGAAGATAGGTGTTATCTGCTTGTTTACAGTGTTTACCAATTTCGGTTTTTCACTAAATCAAAGAGAATTTAATTAAAATCGCGATCTGTGCAATAGTTTAACCCTTGTGTTAGTTATAGGTATTGAAAAAGACAAGTGTTTATTGTTAAAATGGATATTAGAAATTTTTTTATCCAAAGGCCTCGACTTGAGCTTGAGTAGTCTTCGAAATTGCAGGCACCTGTCGCTGGCTCTAGCACAAATGAGGATATTGCGCATACCCCATCAAATAGTAGATGTGAAATTCAGATAAACCGTATTCCAAGTGATATCGCACGTGTAGGTGAGCCTATTATACAGACTTATTTGAATGTCTACCCTAAGAACGAAAATAAGAGATCGTTTCAATCTATTTGGTTCAAACGCTACAAGTGGCTTCAATGTTCAGCATTTTGTTATCCTTGTCAGCAATTTCAGCCATACGCAAGCAAACAGGTCACATATACGCACAGTGGATTTAAGAACTGAAAAAATGCTTTAGATCCAAAGTCAGGTTTTCCAAAGCATGAAAAAACGTCTGTGCATGTTCAAGCGATGGCAATGTGGGAAGAAAAGGTTAGAAGAGACACTAACTGTACTGCCATTTCTACGTTGGTAAACCAAAGCGTTTCAGAAGTACACAGATATTACTTTAAGTCTATTATAGAAGTTGTACAATTTTTGGCAGTGAATGAACTTGCTCTGAGGGGTAGCTACGTAATAGAAGAACAAAAAGAACGCAGCTTATTTCAGAAAATGTTTCAATATACCATTAAAAAAGATCCAACATTAAAAGCTGCTATTTCCCACATTCCTTAAAATGCAAAGTACACATCGCCTGAAATACAAAATGAAATCATGACAGAAACAGTTCGTGGAAACATTGTTAATGAAATATAAAGTTCGGATGACCTTAGTTTATACATTATTGGAAGATGGTACTCGCGATAAAAATAATCGGGAGAACATTGCAATAGCAATACGATATGTTAAAGATGGCGTAATTAAAGAATAGTTATTAACGGTGACAACAACCAAGAAATTAGATGCAGAAATTTTCACAGAAGCCACTTTAAATGTTCTTAAAGACAATAATATTCTATTTTCCCGGCTTCTTAGCCAATGCTACGATGGCGCGACCGTCATGAGTGGCAAGCATGCAGGTGTTGCTGCGAAAATTGAGAAACGTTTGCAACGAAGAATACCGTATGTCCATTGTTACAATCATCGCTTACATTTGGTAGTCGTTAGGATGGTATCAGAGATACCCTTTATCCGTCGTTACTTCGATCAGTGCGTAACGTTACATGAATTTTTTCAACATGGAAAAATTGCTGCTTTGTACGAAGGAAAAACTATAAGTAGACTTTTAGAACAACGATGGACGGGTCATCTAACTGTGACTAACGTAATTTACACAAATTATAAAAATATATTAAAGGTTCTTGAAGAAGTGCCAAAACAAGATTTTAATGGAGACGATGTGGCAAAAAGCGTTGGAATACAAACTGTTATGTTAAATTTGCAATTTCGGATGGCTTCAAGTGTTATGAAAAAAGTGTTATCTTTATTACAACCTGCAGATGCTGCTTTGCAAGGGCGAACGACGGGCTTGAAGGACACAACAGAAATTGTTCTGAAAGTTGTTAAAACAGAAATAGAAAATCTAAGAACAGACGACCAATACAAGCTTATTTTGCGTCAGGCAGAAGGACTATTACCAACAGACGCAAGTGAAGATCATTCCACTACTTTAAAAAGAACACGAAAACCTACTCGAATGAAAGACTTCGTAATGTTAGATGTAATACCATCGCACTCCTCTTGTCAACCAGATAAAGAATTATCACCATTTAAGTCAGAATATTTTGAAGTCCTGGATTTAGTAACTGTAGAACTCCACAGAAGGTTTTCTTACAACGGTGCATTAATAGAATCCATTGCTAGCTTGGAAGAATTTAACATTGAAAAACTTAGTGCCTTAAAAGATCTTGGTAACAGAGCTGGGCAGTATTTGAGTTTCAAATACCGTTTAGTATTTAAATATTTTACTAAAAAAGTATTTGTATTTGCCAACACAAATACTATTGAAGGTATTTAATATTTAAATACTTTTCGGCGGTATTTAAATACTTTTTTATTATACCTGAATCACAATCTCCGTTTTAAACACTCAAATGCGTGCGAAAAAGGGCCTTTAAAACACACGTGCTTTAAAATTGCTAAGTAACGATACTTCAAGTATGACTTTTGAAACTGTCATCTGGATGAAATAAAAAATCCTCTTAGGTCGCTTTCTATAAATGCAGAACATTTCTTTGGCTTTTGTACTTATCCTTTGGTTGAAGCTTTCACAAACGCGCGTAATTTAGGGTATGCTTCCAAATCTGTTCCACTTTTTAATCGCAGCATTGCTTTAAAGTTTTGAATGAATGCACCAAAATATAGAAGATTTAATACCTTTGACATTTCCTTCATATATGCCAGCATTATGGATGCATTTAATACTGTATTCGTAAGTAACTTCCTATTCATCCATGGAAACAACTTTTCATATTCTTTATAATAGGCTTTACTGGAGTTGGATTTAACACCTACCAACGTTTGTTTAGATTTTACAACAATCGATTTAATGGGCGGTGTATTATCTTTTTCAACGGAAATAGTTTAATTCACAAAGACGATGATTTTTATAAGCAAACGTCAAGTGACATTTCCATGGCAATCGTGAAATTACGAACACCCAGCCCACTTAATTAGACATGTATTCGAGTATAACGTCAATATAACTTCATTGTATTTCCTATTTTTAAATTATACTGCAGGTATAATAAAAAATACTATAAGATACACGTGTATAATTGGTCTTTAAGGCACTTGCAACGTTAAAGGCACTCCGCTTTGCGTCGTGCCCTTAAACTCGTTGCGCGTGCTTTAAAGACTTGATTATACACTTGTATCTTAATATACTATTAAAGTATTTCAAATACTTTCAAAATATTTAAATACTTGGCAAGTATTTAAATACTCAAAGTAGTTAAATACTTTTCAAACTATTAAAAATATTTAAATGTTTTGATAATTAAAGCCTCTACTTATTTATAATTCGATAACCATTCAATGTGGATGTGCGAATTTGTTATAGAGCAGTACAGTTGGATTTTAGATTCAATCTTTTCATTTGCGTTGGCTAGACCTAGGACCCTGTTAAGACACCCCTCCCCTGTAAATATTTGCGTAAATATATTTCTTCCTGTAATTTTAGTGTTACACACTAACATTCAAAGTAGTGAACAATAGTCAATAAACTGGTTCGACGCGCGACAGGTATCTTATCTACCCCAAGCAGAACCTTGCTTTTGTGTTGACTGTTGAAGTACGTCCTCGCTTCTCTTTGTAAAATGTAAACAAAAGGAATTATCAATTACCTAAAAGAAGAGCAATAAATTATCCACCTAATATTCAAGGTAACGACCCTGACCCATTGTTAGATATTCCTGTTTACTCTGTAAGTACCTACTTTAATTACATGCCACATAGTAAAAATAATTTCCCTAATTGAGTCAGTCTCACCGTTCATCTCATTAGAGTTTGGTCGTTTGGTTGTGAGGGAAATTGCCAAATTTTTTCATTAATGACGTTCTGGCACTCGCGCGAAGTTTGATACATTGTTCATGATTATAGTGAATAGTTGGCCTTTTGGCTCAGAAACAGACTTTTTCGATTGTAAATTGTGATGGAATGCTTGAATGGATGCACGATATTTGGATAGGTACTGTTTAAAAGAGGTAAGTTTATAGTCATTCATACTAAATTTATTAATTGCTCATTATTTCTGAATCCGTATGCCCTCTTTGCATAATTTACCACACTAACAGATTGTTGGACACACAATTTAATTTTGCCATAACCCAATCCATATTAATTATTAAGTTGTAATTTTTAAATAGAGCTTGCATCATTTTTAAATTATAGAGTGCAAAAAAGGAGAGTAATTTATACCCTTTTGGTTGTATGCGTGCATGTTTATTATCGTGTCCTATATAAATTTACCTAACATTATATTTATATTACAGTATGTGCAATTTTCAGTCGTCCCCGAACAGGTGCTGGATCAGTTGCTTCCGATGACGGTCGCGTACGATGAACCGGCGGGGATCGTTAGGCGCTACGGTTCCGGGATCGATGTTGCCGTAGGAAACGGGCTGCTCGATGGGCTGTAGCTTCCAGGCGCGTTGTGGTTTCGTCGGGCTAGGCGGTAGCGGCGAAACGGGTGTCGGAAATGGGCTCCTCTGGAAGAAACGGCGGATCTCGTTTCGTCGCTGGCGTTTCACCTTCCTGGGCGTCGTAGGTGGCATGGGCGCGACGTACTGTCCGCGGTGGCTGCTGGTAGGAATGCCGGGCTCGGTGAACGCCGGCTGGGGTAACCTGATTGTGTTTACCGGGCTCGGTGAACGCCGGTTGGTGAGGCAGGCTATTATGAACACTGCCAAAAATTGAATACTGGCTATGAGACAACACAGTATTAGTGAGATGACCGCTATAAGGAAACAGATGCATCTGATTTATTCTGCTGCTGGCTCGCCTTATAAAGGCCGTCTGTTGGAGTGGGGAGAAGCCGTTTTGCATGTCTCGGCCGTGAGTGATCTTTTATCTTCTCAACTGGAACCGGATGAAGGAGAGGTCACGGCGGACGAATTGGATGATATTATTTTTACACCCACAACCTTAACCATTGATGAAAACCATTTCCTATTATGCAGCTACCAAAACATCAACGCTGCATATCTCACACAATAAATTTAATTGCCACTACAGGCATGATGAAATCGATAAACAAGACCGTAGCAATGCGAACTCGTCATACAAATATAATTAATAAATGCCTTCAACTATGGTGTAAGGCTGGTCGCCCAAAGTCAGCGGAAATCATTAAAGAAGTATTAGGTCACCATCTCAGCTATCCTGGCATTACACGCTGGAATTCATACTACGCCTCTGTAAATCAAATTGTGAGTGAGAGAGATAAGTTGCCAACGCTTTATGAAAAATTGTCAATCAAGCAATTTTTATTAAAGGAAAATGAAGTAGAGTATTTAGTAGAATATTTAAAGGTACTCAAACCTCTTGCTTCGGCATTAGACATCTTGCAAGCAGACACTAATATATATTATGGATTCGTCATACCTACTATCGCCAGCTTAAAGATAAAACTGGAAAAACTGAAAGTTGAAGGTTTAAGATATCTGTCTTCAACGGTGAATGATTTATTAATATCAATCTCTAGGAGGTTCCGAGAATATTTAACGTTTCAAAACGAAGATGCAATTCTTGCCGCAGTTTCTCATCCAGCCTTTAAAATGAGGTGGGTTACTTTATTTAAAGGAGAACGAGACTTATCTCAAGTTAGCGAAAACATTAAGAGACTGTTTGTACGTGCCGTCGAGGAATTGACCCTCGCCAGTGAAAGTGAAGTTGGTGAAGAACTGTCGAAACAAACGTCAATTAATGATTTTTTTGAATTTGACGATTATGATGTCCATGGTGGTGACCATCCAATAACTGTAAATTCTAAGTCAGGGAAAGCAGAATTAGAATGTCTGCAGTATTTACAAGACCCACTATCAGAATTGGCGATGTTTAATAAATATAAATATGTACAAAAATTGTTCTTTAGGTATAATACTGCGCTACCTTCATCGGCAGCAGTGGAAAGAATGTTTTCATATGCAACATTTATTGACACGCCACGCATTATCCGACATTAATTTTGAAAATCTAGTACTTACGAAGGCAAATAATCATTCTAAAATTTAAATTGCCTACATATATTAGTTTGAAGAATAGAACTTTTATTGTTAGCTATTTTGTATTGAGAAAACGTTATTTTTGCTGTTGCACTAATTTTACTTATATTTTTTGTGTGTCATTTATATGTTCTGCATAATCACCTAGTAGTAGACAAATAAACTATTTTAAGTCAGATGCGTAGTAATAATGTGTATAAATTCCGCCCTTCTACGTTAAACTTGAAACACTTAGCTCTAAGGTAAGTTAACCACACCACACGTTAGTGATTGCATTGTGCTTTGTCGTTATCTGAAAAATTAAAACTTAAGTATTGCCGTTGAGAAGGCCAATTGTGTAAAAATAACCCCAAGTGATTAACATTTGGTTCCTCCAAGGTCACGGTGAGTTAAAAGTATATTTTAAGTGAGTGGGAAATTTTTGTAAGTATTTACGTGTGTAAACACATTACTTTTTAAAGTATTTAAATCAGTTTTAAAGTATTTAAATCCTTTTCAAGGTAGTTAAATACGTTTCAAAATTTTTAAATACTTTTCAAAATATTTAAATACTTTTCAATGTAATTAAATACTTTTAAAGTATTTAAGTATTTAGTATTTACGCATATTTGGAAAAAAGTATTTTATATTTAAATACTTTTGTATTTATAAAGTATTTAGTATTTAGCATTTAAATACTTTTCAAAAGTATTTTGCCCAGCTCTGCTTGGTAAGTTTAGTTATCGCTTTCTGTGCAAGGTTTCAGTGCAACGTTAAAATTTTTTTACTTTTTAAGGTGTAAAAATACCTACTCAAGAAGAAATGACAGTCGTCAAATCATATTTAGATAGAAAACGGGGCGAGAAAATGTTTCAAGTGCTTTACACCTTCCGATGTAGCACTGCTGTATGCTTTAGTTTATCTCGCTTTGGAGCATTCGAGGACGGAGTCCATAGACATTGACAAAGTTCTAAAAAAATTTAACAGTAAACGCAACAGAAGACTTCACTTATACTAGTCTAGTAATGATATGATTATAGTATTAAGAAATTTCATATACTGGCAGGTATTTGGTGTTATTGCAAACGTTCCTTCAATTTTTTTAATCACAGTTGGATGGAAACATCCCCCACTTGTACGCTCCCCAAAGTTAAAACATTCGCAATGTCAAAATAACATGAAATTAATATTTTTTTCCTTTTAGAGTGGACAACAACATAAAAGGCACCATCAATAACATGCAGTAAGTTAAAAGCGCACCGAAGAACCTTTAATACCTTTAACTTATATCTGCAGACATTATCAAACCACCACCACCCTACAGCCTGCTCAAACAGCACCGCAATCGACAAGTTACCAGTTACAGTAAGTTGCATTAAAGAAGAGTAATTAACCTAACTTTAATTTTTATTTCAGTATTCCAGAGGGGACCGCCCGTGTGCTACAGCATATTGTAATACCACCGTCAGAGTCGCAGGAAGTTGCATTCCCTAAAAGAAAAACTACTTCTATGAATTTATTTTGCTTTCAGACTACAAGGAGCACAACAACAGCAGACGAGTACCGTCGGTCTGCAATCTCAGTAAGTTATTTTGAAAGTGTAATGAAAAGAAAGTTCTAACATTCCTATTCTCCTTGTTACAGACATGCACAGAAGGACATGAAGGTTCTGAGGGAGGTATTCGAGCAAAGTTTCTATGAAACAATCTCCGAGCCTCCTTCATTAACTGCAGAAATAATCCAACCGGTTGAACTTCCAACAGCCGTTGTTCCCCCCTGGTTTGAACCGGCAACACCTAGAGAATTGGCGAAGGCGTCGCTTGCATGGTTACAACAGAAGGCGCCCGTATACATGCAACGATATGAAGACGCGCAAGACAACCAGAAGGCTTGAAGAGGAGCTCGCTGCAGCGCGCCTCAACGAACGACGGCTGGGCGAAGAAATGGAATACATGAATAAGTTTATTAATTTTTTAAAATAACCAATTACATAGGGCCCCAAAAATTATCCACCGTGTATTAACCATTATGAGTACTTTAACCGTAACACATTTACTCCTACTTACTATGAAACTACTTAATTTTCTTAATATATTATTAGCATTGATGTGTCAAAAATATCTAAGTATTTTTCGTTGCCTTTGCACACCAAGAGGAACTTCAGGAATCAAGTTAATGTGGCTCAATTCAAGCGGTTGGTCGCACTTGAAAATTGGAATATCGTCACTTCTAAACAAAACTTGGATGAAAAGTTTTTCAGCTTCGTAGAGCATTTTCAAGGAATTATGGAATTGGCGTTCCCACTTGAGATCTCCAACAATAAAAAACTATGCGGAAGTAAGCCATGGATTAATAGGACAATATTAGACCGAGGACAACTGTTACGATACATCTCCGGAATTTGTAAACACAGTAGTGATCCCCATATACACTTAAAATATAAAATCTTACTTAAAAAAGATAAGTAGGACATCGAATTCGCCAAAAAAAGGTTTTATGACTCTAAGTATGAAAGGTCATCGAACAAATCAAAGTGTGCATGGAAGATCATTAAAAATGAAACCAATCTTAAGTGCAACAAGAGTATTTATCCCACAGAATTTCGGGATCCTTCTAACAATTCTGTAACAGGATACAGGGAAATTGCGGAAAGTTTCAATGCCGTGTTTATCACCACACTTACAAACATTACTAGCTCCATTCGTGCAGATACCGACAAGATTGACATCACAAATGAATGCAACGCTACCATGTTTTTAAAGCATGTCGATGTTATCGAAACCGAAAATCTCATCTTGTCATTCGCTAATAAATTTTCTGCGGGTACCGATGGCATTCCTTGTGCCATTCTAAAGCATGTTTCCAAAGATATTGCTCCTATACTAGTTCAATTAATTAATGAATGTTTTCAAGTTGGAATTTTCCCAAATGTATTTAAAACTGGATTGGTTATCCCAATTCATAAAAAAGGTGATAATAATAAACTTACCAACTATCGGCCAATATCGTTATCAGCTTTTTCAAAAATTGTTGAAAAAGCGTTTTACATGCGGTTGCTCGATTTTCTAGTCAAGCATAAAATACTTTACCCTTGTCAGTTTGGACTTCGAAAAGGACTTTCCACTCAAGATGCAATTCTTAATTTTATAAACAGTGTGGTAAAAAATTTAGAAATTGGGAAATAAGTCTCTGGACTTTTTTTCGATTACTCAAAGGCATTTGACGTTATTAATCACAAATTGCTTCTATACAAATTACAAACATATGGTGTAAGGGGTATAGCATATAGGTGGTCACAATCCTACTTAACTGGACGAAGGCAGCAAGTCAAGTTGGGTTTCAGATGGTACTGCTTATCTTTCCTCGTACAGATACATTGCCACGGGTGTTCCACAAGGAAGTACCTTAGGACCGCTACTGTTTGTCGTGTATTTAAACAATATAACTCACATGTTTAATAGTGATAATGAACTCTTAACGCTATTCGCGGATGACACTTCAGTTTTAGTTTGTGCGGATACGGTACCTGCGGTTAGTGAACTTTCGAACAATTGTGCCCTAAAAATGACAGATTATTGTCTGAACAATGGTCTAATATGAAATAGCGCTAAAACAAACCTCATGTCATATTCACTTCAACCGCCAAATTACAGTCTGTTAGTTAGAATTGACTCGGGGAGCATCCAACAAAGTCACACCCAAAAATTTTTAGGTGTATTTATTGACAGTAACCTTACTTGGAAATCGTTATTAATTCCGTTTGTAACAACCTTTCTAAACAATGTTATGTGCTATGGCGATTACGACACTCTGTAAACCTTACAGTATTGCTGAAGTACTATTACGCACATGTCCACGCATTTCTAGCTTATGGGGTGCTTTTATGGAGAAACAGTCCGAAAATAATTAGTATTTTAACAATACAAAAGCGTATGGATTGACTTATCCCATAGCATTTATGAGCTCAGACGCATCTGCATCTGACCACATCATTTGCAGATGATTGTTACATGTTTGATTCACTTTTTGCTAGTACTCACTAATTATTTATAGACGAGTGCATAAATGATTGTAGGCTATATATATCAGGGTTCAGTGGAAGAACAATCTCTAGAGATTGAACTGCGCCCTGAGGTCAACTTATAGCAAGTAAGATAATAAAGGCCATTATTATTATTATTATGGTCGGTGTATCTTGTGAGAACTCAGGTCTAGCCTGGTTAACTAATCGCACGGATTAAAATCAAGTAACGATTAGTGTCTGTGTCTGTGTCTGGTGAAGTTATGTAGGGTCCTAAAAAAAAAAAAATAAATAAATATAATAAAAATAAAAATTCACACACTCACATTGGAAATCTAGAGATAGTATGTAATTCATACTTACCAACATAGCTATTGATGGGCACTCAAAACAAAAAAAAATCTATAATAATTGTAATTTTTATTAAATGGAGTTTATTGTGCAAGTGTTTCTTTGGCTTTGCGTTTGGGTTGAATACGAGTGGGTTGTGATAACGTGGTGTGTTTCTGTGAAGAAGGAGTTTTGTGTTTTTTAACTGTGCTAGGACATGTAGGATATGTATTATTATTATTATTGTCGGTGTTTCTTGTGAGAACTCAGGTCTAGCCTGGTTAACTAATCGCACGGATTAAAATCAAGTAACGATTAGTGTCTGTGTCTGGTGAAGTTATGTAGGGTTCTAAAGAAAAATAAGAAATAAAATAAATAATTATAATATATTATAATAATAATTATTATTATTATTATTATCTACTGGGTAGGCGAATTTAGTTATTGGGTTTAAACTGATATAAGTAAATTAGGTGCATTCAAACAAAATTTATTGGTTACATGTTTACAAGAATTGTAACAAATGATTTGTTTAGCGAGTAACTTTTCACAAAACTTATCCAATTATAGCTCCTTGGTTTAGTTTCCATTAATCTCCGCAGGTCTTCCAGTCTGAGAAACCCATAATCGAAATTTCTTCACTCATTTTAAATTTAACTTCTCAATTCGTCGATGGC